ATGTGTGCATGAGTGCGCATGCGCGCGCACACACCCTGCGCATCTGTTTTTCCAAGCCTCTCATCTCCCATCCTTCCTCGTTTCATTCCAGTCTCCCAGTTTTTCACAGGGACAACCTTGTGCTTCCTCCTCTCTCTTTCATCTCCTCTATCCAAATTTGCAAATTCAGCCTCAACCACCTGTGACCCAGCTCCTTAAACCAAAACAGAAACCCTTCTCTCAGCTTTTAGTGAAAGAAGCTGGGGGAAGTAAAGGAAGGGCATGAGAGAGTCATTCACCATTCCTCACCTCCCTCTATTGGTCAGCCTTTCAGAGATGGGGGGGGGAGATCAGGGAAATGGTTTCTACCTGCCCAGGATCCCTTATGCTGATGAATGGAGCCACAGGAAACTCCCAAAGAGGGAAGTTGTTATTCTTATGCTGAAAGGCAGCAAAAAGTTAGGACAGAAATAAAGATCTAATTGATTTAGCTAGACACTGAAAAACAGTGATTTCCAGTCTTGTTGCAACATCCCAAATAACTCAAGTTATTTTCTTAAAATAATAATAATAATTATTATTATTATTATTTTGGTACATGCCCCTAGCGGGAACCGAATCCGGGACTCTCTGGTCCGCAGGCCGATGCTCCAACCACTGAGCAAACCGGCCAGAGTTTATCTTAAATTTTTTTTTTTTAAATCCTCACCCGAGGACATTTTTCCATTTTTTGCACAGATAGAGTGGGAGGGAGAGAGAGGAAGAGAGAGAGAGAGAGAAACATCGACGTGAAAGAGACACATCGAGTGGCTGCCACCCACAGGACCAACCAGGGCCGGGGACAAACTGCAACCGAGGTACATGCCCTTAGTGGGAACCGAACCCGGGTCTCTCCTGACCGCAGGCTGATGCTCTAACCGCTGAGCCAAACCGGCCAGGGCTATCTTAAAATTTTTAACAGAAAAATACCATACAGAGAACTCTGTTTTTCGTGGGGATGGCAAGGGTCTTTATGGCATACAAACATCACAAAGAACTCTGGCCACTTTGGCCCAGCAGTTAGAGCATTGGGGGTTTGATTCTGGCCAAGGGCATGTACCTCTTTTGCGGTTCCTCCCTGGTCCTGGTCAAGGTCGTGTGGTAGGTAACCAGTCGCTGTGTCTCTCTCACACCGATATGATATTTCTCTCTCTCTCTCCCACTTTATCTGAAGATAAATAGAAAAATGTTCTTGGGTGAGGATTTAAAAAATAAAAATCACAAAGAACCCAATAAAAATAGAAACTGGTTTTCAAGGTTAAGAATCCCTGTTTTAGACATCACTGCTGAGAGAAGCAGGAGATCTAAGAATGGAGAAATGCTCTAATCTCGGGGGGGGGGGGGGGGGGGGCAATAGTCCCATTCCTCACACCTCTAAAGGGGAAGAGGAAACACAATCTAAACTTTTCTTTCCCTCTCAACTCCTTCCCTCAAACCTTCTTATTAGCTCTCTACTCCTAAAACATGGAAATTAAAAAAAAAGGGAGAGGAGGGGGGGAAAGGCAAAAAGAAACTGAGATGATTAAAAGGGAAAAACAGGCAGGCCGGTGTGGCTCAGTGGTTGAGAGTCCACCCATGCACCAAGAGGTCCCCGGGCACGTGCCCAGGTTGTGGACCCAATCCCCAGTGGGGGGCATGCAGGAGGCGGTGGCCAATCAATGTTCTCTCTCATTGATGTTTCTATCTCTCTCTTCCTTTCTCTTTCTAAAAAATCAATAAAGAAAAAAAAAAAAGGGAAAAACAATAACTGAGAAAGGATGACGAACAAGAGAAAAAGGGAGGGGCAAACAAAAGGAAGGGTAGAAAAAAATATGAAAAGAGGGTGCATCCTCTGTGTTCTGGTCTAGAAGCCAGAGATGTGCCCACACCCCGGAGGAGGAGCAGGTAGCCCCAGCCCTGCCCTCTCCGAGTAGCAATGTGGCAGCTCCATCCCCTCTACCTCCCAGCCCCATGCAGACATGACTGGAATGGTGAGGCAGGAACTAGAGAAAGGGGGTATGTGACAGCGGAAAAAGGCGCACAGCCAGACGCAGGTCTCTGGAAGCTGTGCTCCCTGGATCCTGTCAGGAGTCACTGAAACATAAGCAGCAGAGAGTTATAGTGGGGCAGGGGAGTAAGGGGGAACCAGACTGTCTAGGGAGGTGCGGCTTGCTACTGAAATAGCATCCATCCCATCTTTACATGGCACAGGCAAGGGCTTTGGTTCACCTGCCCTCCTCCCAGGCTACAGATCTCACTTGCCCCCACCCCCATCCTTGCTGCAGATGTAGAAGCAGACTTTCATAAGCTGCAGTGGCTGTGGCCAATACCACAGCTCCCCACCAGCTTCCTTCCCCAGAAGACAGCAGCAACAGGGAGGTGGGAAAAAAGCAAGGTGCAATAATAACCCCAAACCTTCTCATCTCAGCAGCCCCTCAACTTATCAGCAAATTCAATTTTCAGCATCTCTTCCTCTCTCCCTGGCTCATAACCAAATGATCACATAAGGCTTTGCTGAAAAGAAGCATGAGGCTGTTGGGCCAGCACTGTCTCTCCCGTCTGGGAGGGGGCATCACATTAAACACAGAAAGAGGTGCACCTGTTTCCAGAGGTGGCATGGGGTAGAAAGCTCATAAAGAGTCCTAGATTGTTGCACAAAGACAATAATTTGATGGAGTTGAAATTAAATGTCCAAATTGAGGCCGCTTATGGAATTTAAAGGGGGTGGAGAGAACATGGGGTGGAGAGAACAGAAATGAGAGGAAAAAAGACAAAGAAAGGGAAAAACACACATGATACAGTAGACAAAGGAGAGAAACCATAAAAAAAATACAGATGCACAAATAAAGACAAGCTGAGAGGAGGGAGCCAGCACCTGGAAAGCAAGATGTTACAGCTGTAGAGGGGGTGGGGGAGCAGGAAAGTAGAGTGGGAGGAGGAAACAAAGGCAAAGGATCCAAGGAACTGAGGACCAGACCCTTCTCCTGTGCCTACAGCTTGTCCCTGACTTTAAGCAGGTGAGATGACGAGGTTTCTCCCTCTTGCTTTCTTTCCTTCATCTCTGCTGGAATAACAGAGCCCCGGTGTCTGTGTGGCATGCTTACACACTGGTTGGCTCCAGCTTTTGCCTTGTCTGCCCCCCCTACCCCCACCCCAGGTCACATTTAAGGTTTGAGTAGCAGCTTGGCATGTCCACAGGCTGAAATAGGCTCCCCTCTGCAGCCGCCAACACTAGGCTCTCACCCCCAGCTCACGCTTCCTCGTACAGGCAGAGGCTGCCTGGGGGCTGCTTGCTCTAACAGGATGATTCCAAGCTGTGTGCTCAGTGATCCAGCTAAGCACAGGCTCCCACACAGTGGTCCTCCATTTTCCCCTAGCTGTCAGCGCTGCATTGATTTCACTCGCTGTGCAACCATTTAGTGGAGACAAAAGGGGAGGCAGAACTGCCCAGCTCCGGGCTTCTCCAGAGCACCAAGTGGCAAGATTCCTAGAAGAGTTATGAGCGATGATGAGCTCATCGGAATGAGTGCTATGCAGGTAGACCCCCTGACACACTGGAGGGAAACATAAACCAAGAAACAGTTGTTTAGGAGTGGCAGTGCAGGTGTCAAAACCTTGGGAGTCATGGGATGGGCCCTAGGCAAAGTGGCATTGTGAGAGAACTAGAGAGATCGAAAGGGAAGGGGGCAAGTAGGCTCGGGCTTCAGAGTTAGGAAATAAATAATGTCCAGAAGGGTCTGGCTCTGAAGTGGACCAAATGGCTCTCCTATCCCATGTTTATGGGTTCATGGACCATTAAACCAGCCAATCTACAGATGTCTTCATAAGACTTTACGAGATTAGACTGAGGAGACCCTATAACTCAGCAACAAGAAGGGAACATGAGATGGGAGAATTGGATGAGATGGTGGAAACAAGAGGGCTCAGCCTTCAGAGGAGTCACATCTCGGTGGGAGGATGTCTAGGTTCTGTGATCCTTCACTTCTCAGTCTTCTGAGTTTCTGCCCATCTCCATTAGTCACAACTGCACCAGGCTTATATCAACCAATACATTTGTGATTATCTACTTTTTCCTTCCTAATCTACCCTCAACCATATTCCTGACCTACAATCACTTGGTCCTCAGAGAAGACAGTTTCTTTGGTATTTATGAAGCAAATTAGATAGTAAAAGTTATATTTATAAACTCACACATATTGGGATTTACATTGTCAATATATTTTTCCACAATTCTAACAACCAGGAGCTGACTCATTTAGGAGTCCCTGGGTTCCTGAAGGGTAATATTTATTCTCTGAGCCACTGGGTGCAGAGACAAGCAATGATACGAGAAAGGCATACAAACTGAATTGGTTAAGGGAATGGAGTAAGAACAGGATACATGTTTTTATTCCCTCAAGCGTGCGCCACCCTGTGGCTATTTGCAGAAAGCGAGAGACCAACAATCCTTAGAAAAAGGCCCTTGCACCCAGCTGGTGTGGCTCAGTGGTTGAGCATGGACCCATGCACCAAGAGGGCACTGGTTCAATTCCCAGTCAGGGCACATGCCCTCATTGTGGGCCAAATCCCCAGTGTGGGCAATGCAGGAGGCGGCCAATTGATGTTTTCTCTCATCGATGTTTCTCTCTCCCTCTCCCTACCACTCCCTCTAAATTCAATTAAAAAAAATTTTTTTTAAAGAAAAAAGCCCTTGCTTTCCAAAACTTACTCTTTCAGAAATACATGTGACTACTGGCTGCCATTGCAGAACCCAAATTAGCCTTAAGAACCAGATCTTCAAACCATCACTCAGGATCCGTATTTGAAAAGCAACCATTTTATTAGAATCAATACAAGAGTATGAAAAGAGGGAAAAGAGGAGGGTGAAGAGGGGGAGAGAATGAGGTCTGCATTGGATGTCAGTTGTAGAAACACATAAATTTCCTACTTTGGAACATTTACATTTAAAAGGTGAAAATTATATATATATATATATATATATATATATATGTATATTTTCACACTTATCCTAAAAGAACAATTTAAAAACCATAAGCAGACATGTTTGGCTAAAATAAGAAACACAACCAATACTCCCCCACAAACTGAAAAGTCCAGAGAATTCAATTTCCCATTTTCCATTCAGAAATCTGGTTACAAAGTGTGGTTTGTTTGCTACTCAGGATGGTAGTGATGAGAGAAACCCAGCCTCTCGAGTCTCTTAGATCCCATCTCGTGGGAAGGCTGTGGGCCATGCACGCGTCAACTCATGGCTACTTGGCAGGATTCAGACAGTGTCTCTCCATGCTCCAGAACTCCACAGAAACACCTGGTGTTGCCAATGCTGGGTGAACAGAGGTGCAGAGTCCACAAAACATGGATAACGGGAATGTGACTGCAGCAGGAGGCCAGGACCTTGTGCTTTTTCATGGGTTACACATCTAGGGCCAAGGAGGAAAAGAAAGAGCCCTATTGGGGAGAGGAGCTGAGTGAGCCCCTAAACTGAGATGGAGAGTAAGGCTCTTGAGCCCACACCTGGGCAAATAGAAATAGTGTCAAAAGTTTTCCCAAACTGGAGGGGAAAAAAACTGGAGGAAAAAAAGGGTCAGTCAGGTTCCCACTGTGGACCCTGCAAGAGTTGACAGATGCTGAATGCAATGAATTGGATGAAGTTTTAGAGTATCAATGCCCAATTCTGAGTATTAAACATACCTCTTAAAAAATTTTCCAATGGGGACTGGAAGTAGGTATGTTTTCCAAACCAGATGGTTCCTGTGGGGAGGCAGAGGCTTAGGTACAGATACCACAAAGGGCTGCAGTGTCCCAGTTGTGTGGGGGTCATTTTGGGGAGTGGTAAGCAATGACATAAATCAAACCCAATGTCTTTGCTTTGCTTCTGAGACAAACTGAGTCTGTTCCAAGTCCATGGGGCATGGGACCTTAATTCCCAACCTGCAGAAACAAGCAATAGCATCCCCGCCTCATGATTCCCTAATCCAATGCTCTTGGATCTAAAATAGGCTCTCTGTGTGGATGTGAGATGTAGAAAATACTAAGTGCCTTCCCCCAAAACATCCTAAGTCTGGACTCAGACTCCAACATTCCCAAAAAAACAGCCAACATCTGAACTAGCAGCTTTGATGAGGGGTGGGGGGGCAGAAAACTTTCTGAGGTCACTAAGTGGTTCCAACCTTGGGACAGCTCAGTGAGGACTAAAGCCTATGTTAGGCCTGGACTTCGGCTCAAAGCATCCTCCACTGAGGACCCTAAACTATTCTATCAACTTTGATTTACAATGCCTCACAACACCCCTGTGAGGTAGGTCAGTATTATTATCCCCATTTGACAGATAGGGAACTGAGGCATTGAAAGGAGTGACTTGCCCAAGGTCAGCCATTATGAATCAGTTGAGGTTGGCACATAGTCAGAATCCACTCAATTCTTAACTCCACTCCCTAGAGCATGTGACTTTTTAGAGTGCACTTGGGAGCGAAAGAAAGCTAGTAAGTACACATCACTCTGCAAAGTAGATAAACTCAATCAACCCACAAGTATTAACCGAGGGCTATTATTTATCTAGCATACTCAAGGGACCGTAAAGAAACAAACTGCTTCTGAAAGCCATGTGTTAATGGATGTTTTGAAAATAAAATTACATTTTAAATAGCAAAGTAAAGAACTAAGTCACACTGATTTCCCAAAGTTCTGTACCAAGTAACCCAATTTCCTAAAATCCAAAATGAAGCAAGACCACACTGAACCAGGAAGAGAAATAAGAACCATTCCCCAGTAGTGGTCTGAGCTGCAAGGTTGGTGGAGAAAGGCCAGCAATAGTGGTGAGAGCAGCAACATCCTCTACAGGCTAAACTAGGAGCATAGGAACCTCAGCACCACCAACCACCCTCCTGTAGCTTCTGGCCCCTCCCCACAATTCCTCAAAGACAACATCTTACCAACCCTTCTGGACTCAGCTCACCTTCTGGAGTTGTGGCATCCTCATAAACAGCTCAAGATTAAGGATATAAATGTTGACCGCTCCCTATTTGTCACTTCAAGGAGAGGGGATAAAGTCTTCTCTATAACTAGTCATAAGACTCCTGTAATATTCTTTCCTCCTGCCAAAGACATAACCTTTTAACAAAAGGCAAAACAAAAAAATACTCCCCCCACCCTTGGATTTACAGTGGATTCTGGTAGAAATCATTATGACCCTCATCCTAAAACTAGCAGGAGTGGCGGGTGGGGAGGTTGACTAAATCCACAGCCCGCCTTGGTTTAGAATCAAATACATCAGAAGCTCAAATGATTTAGCAACACACATAGTATATTTTCATCAGGGATACTCTACTTTCAGGAAATACTAACCACTCCAAGACCTAAATATAAGCCTTTTTTCATTGATTGATCACACCAAACAAATCTCAATGATCAAGTTCAAGGCCGATTAAAGTGGCAATGACAGTTCAGGTTTAGTCTGTGTTTGAATTCCTCAGTGTGACAAACTGCCCACTGGGACCTGGATCAACTGTGAGGGTCACACCTGCCAATGCCAGGGGACATCACACACACACACACACACACACACACACACACACACACACAAACACAGAATGACAAGATAAAAAGTTCATTGCATTCAATTTGATCTAATTTCTTGATAATAGTTTCCTATTAGATTTTCTGATTAATACTGATGGCTCTTACCTAGGCTGTGATAATTAGGTTTTGATCTATTGTGACATTAATGATCACAATCAGTTGACTTTGAAATTGTCTTAATTAATGGTTCTTCCCTTCTAGGCGGCCTCCAGTGCAGTCCTGTCCCCAACCCCGACCCCCACCCCCCACCTTATTTTAACTCCTTCTTTTACTGATCTCAGAGACAAACAGCATTTGGAGAATCACTTTCAAGATTTTACACTATTTTAAAACATTTCTCTGACAGAGGATTATGTTAGGTGACAGAAGGATCAGGATGAAAGGGCAAGAGAACATGCTGTCAATGAATAGGGGGAAAATCCATCATAAAAAAACAGCCCAAGTCAAGCATGTTAGAGGCAATGACAAGTTGAAGTAACTCTAGAAAGACAAGATGAGGTAGTTTAAAATTCAAGAAATCCAGCGCAAGCAAAAAGAAACTAGGATTGTTTTTACGAAGCTATCCAAAAAAACTTCACACTTTATAATTTTCCAGAAGTTATTCTAATTCTTGGGAAGTCTGACTTCCACCAGTAGTCAACTCTCAATTGTCCAGGCAGAGAAAAGTATATTTTTCTTGTGGTCAGAACTAAAAAAATTCTTAAGGTCAGTGAAGCTAGGCCTCACCCTAAACTGATCAAATCTAAAATTCCAGGATATGTATATATTCGGGGGCGGGTTTTCATGTAATTGAGACAAGTCTCTGCAGTGAATAAAATTACTGCCCAGAGTAGATGCCCAGGTGTTAACAGATGTGCCCCACGACTTCTTTTTAGCAAATCTCTCATCACTGCAAATATGTCCCTGTTTTAGGCTTAAAACCAGTCACGTTAATTCTTCTGAAAGAGATGAGAAAATGAAAACGGTGTGAGAATCTCTGATAAAATGTCCATGTGGAATAAATGTTACAGAACCCACAATAAAGTAACAACACATAACTAAATCTGCCACACAGTTAATACTTTCGCTACAAGAATTAACTATACAATTAATTACTTTGGCAAAGAGCCTAAAATAGGAACCGAAATCTGGGGTTCTCAATCCCCACTCACCTGTTGTTCTCTCAGTAATAGCAGCTTTTCTAATTAGCCTTCCATTATTTTTATTTTCTGGAATTAAACAAGCCCTTGTTGTGGTCTACCTATGACCAGTTAACTCAGTTCATCCAAGGGCACAGGTCTTTTCTACATATTAACTAATTGTTAGCCCCCTACTTTAGGGCCACAGACCATATCAACAGTTGTCTCTGCCCCCAAATGAGAAATGTGTGTCCATCTAAACCATTACACTGAACTGCTATTAGTAGGTTTACCCCACACCAGTGTAACAGTTCTTTGAAGTCAAGGACTGCATCTTTTTGAACTTCGTATCCCCTGGGCCAAAAAATGTTGAATGAATGTTGATATACACTAATGTGGCTGGATATGGACAGCTCAATACAACTCTGCCACTTTTAATTGGGCGGGAGGTACCCAATTCTTAGCATATGCTCTTGGATGCAAGGCTGGTAAAGTCTCTATTTTTGAAAATACAACTTTTAGTGCAGCTGGTGTGGCTTAGTGGTTGAGTATCAACCCATGCACCAAGAATCAGTTTGATTCCCGCTCAGGGCACATGCCCAGGTTGTGGGCCAAACCCCCAGAGGGGGGCTGCAGGAGGCAGTCAACTGATGTTCTCTCTCATCGATGTTTCTCTCCCTCTCCCTCCCTCTAAAATCAGTAATAGAAGAAAAAGAAAATATATAACTTACAATTAGTGGTAAAGCCAATATGCAACTGGAATACATTGGGTCCAGACCTTTCCTTTCTCCACCTTGCTACAGGTATGCTTGCTTGGTGTGCTGATTTACAGATCTCAACATTATAATTTCTACTCTAAAAATCTAAACCAAAAGGATGGGGTAATGGGTACAAAATAATCTTTTCCTTTGACCTAATTTCTGAGAAACAATTTCTACATTTTATATCTAATTACATAACCCTTCCTGGGGCTCTCATGTCATTGGAAAGTAGTATTTTAGACCCTGGATTTCAAACCCTAAGGGCAAAGACAACCACTCTCCAACCCAAACTCAGATCCCTCTGTACTTCAGGTGAGCTGGCTAAACATAGATGCAACAGTCACAAGACGAAAATCCCAAGCACCTTCTCTAAGGCCCTATGATTTGGCCTAATATAAAGTAAGTGGACGGCAGGGTGTCTACAAAACAGGAATACAAATTTAAGAATAACTGCCCAAGCTATGGGAACAGGGCCAACCTTTCATGAAAAACAAAGTAATACACAGATATGGCTGAGGGGGAACAGCCAAGGATCATCCAGACTTTTGAGTGTTAAGAGAGCACCATAGGTCTAAATGCTCCCTTGAGCAGACGAAAACTGACTACAAGAGGAAAAGTGATATGGCTCACCCCAGCTTAAAAAATGGGTACTTCCATCAGTGCTGATGTTCCTAACAGCTAATCTTAATGTAAGAGTATCAGTCCTGGCCAGGGCTCAGAAAAGCGGCTACAATAACCTTGGTAGACTCTGTTGGGCAAAGCTCTACTATATTCTGTGAAAGGGGGATCCTTGAGTGCTGATTACTAAAGAAATTATTAGAAAGATGTTTTGAAAGAACTCAACACAGGAAAAACAAACTGAGCATCTGAGATCTAGATGTTTAAGAGTGCTTAGCCCATGGCTAACTCTTCTGACAGGAGGAAACCCATGTAAACAAGTTTCCGTCTGAGGTTGCAATTCTCCAAGGGCCAGGACAGATACTCAGCATTAACAAAACCTTGAGGCATAGGGAGGCATCTGGTTTCCTTTCTGCTGAGGGCTGAAATTAGTATTGACTTCAGGGTCCCGACATTCCTATAGAGGCAGTTGTGGATAGGCAGGGAGAGGGAGAGAACAAAAGTTGTTTTGGTGGCACTCAGTACAAACCATGATTCAATAAACTGTGGACAAAAGATGAAGAATAAGGTGATGAAGATATAATACTGGGGTTTTTAAAACAAAATCAGATTTTGATGAATGTCTTAAATATTACCTATAACCCTGGCAACTATGTGACCCAGGTTTCTCAGAATCACACTCAGTACAAAAGAATTGTTCTGTCCAAATGCTAGATTTTGGTTTTAAAAATATGGTCACTGTAGTTTACATGCCCCCTGCTCCTGGGAGACAGACACTAGCTACATGGATAAGGTGTCATTTTCTCCACCTGCAAATTGAGACCCAGATCACTTCGCCAGGGGCTCCAACCTATTTTTGTCCTATCCTTCCTTGTCTACTCTAATTGATATCTTTGATTACCTGTATGACAGATCTATTTCCTGACCACCCTTTCTCTTAGATGTCCATCAGATTAGTAACAATGGTCCATTATTTAGCACTTGCTCTAGGTCTTTAATTCGTTCAGAGAATGATGGAAGATGGAGCTAAAACCTCTACCTACTTGAGGTGTGGGTTGTGAGTTCTTACCTAATCACATTTCCATTCAGAAAGATTTTCCTGGATGACTTAAACCAGTCTTCCTTGTTCCAGTCTGTCATTTCACTGCATCAACGACTGTCTTTTCAACTGTGCAGTATAATTTTTGACATAATTTATAGAAGCACACAGAATTCAATCAGTAGCCGGGCAGAGAAGCAATGTTAACAAAGGCTAAGAATGGGTATATAATTTGTATATTATTCAGCTCATCTGTGGACTAGAGCAAGATATTCATTCCCCCTCATTACTCAAAATAATCTAGAAATGGTCGAATGCTTCTGCCAGCTGTTTTAAAAATCAAAGCAACAACAAAAAAACAACCTTTGATGGCTGGTGAACTCTATAGAGTTAAGGCTATTTCAAGCATTTATTCTTATTTTCTCAGCTTTGCACTAGGACAAGGAGGCTCAAAACCCTGCTATTTCCTTGCTTTTAGTTTTGATTCTCTAGCTCCGCCCCCTCCCCTCCCCAAAGGAAAAAAAGAGTAGAGAAGTAGGACATTACTAAGAAAACAGACAGGTTATCAGAAAAATAAACTCTCAATATCATGGCAAAACAGGAGGAAGCTAAAAGGGAAATATTTTGCTGAGTAAGGAAAGACGGTTGTGTCAACATGCTAATGCCAAGGCCTGTCACTCACCGAGGTGATAGTCTTCCATAGAAATGCATCTTCAAAAAGAAGATACAAAGAGTTTTAAAGTGGAAAAGGAAGAGCATTAATACTTTGGGGACTCTTGGCAAATTCAGGAGTCAACAAGGACATTTATGACTATAAATGCTATGAATATTTAAAATTGAGAGTGTGGCCAATGGCTCCCCTCCAAAAATTCCTCACTGAAAATAATGGCATAGAGGGGAAACTTGGGTCCACTGAGAAGTGAGGGTCAGGTTTGAAGCCTCTTTGGTTAACAGGAATGCTTTGGGAGGCCACAGAAGTTGGCAGGGTTGGACGGTGCCTAGCACCTTGGCACAAGCAAGCACCAGGCAGTCACTCACACCTACATAAATATATAGTCCAAATGTGAGGGATGGAAGGAAATAATACATATATACCATATGTGATAATAAAGACAACTGTATCCTACCCCACCATCCTCATGTACTAACAGCTAAAAAGCTCCACAGTTAATAATCTTGTCACTTTATGACAGACTACACCACCTTGCAGAAGCAGAATCAGGGATTGCTAAAAAAAACAAAGCCAAAAGTCCTGGGGCTGAAAGGAGTGTGCCTTGAGAAATCTAAATGTCAAATTTCAAGTCCTCCAAGGATGGCGCTATTCTAGGAGGATGGGTGAGGATGAACAACAGAGGGTGGCCAAGAAGACCACACCAGGAACCCTGTATTCTCCTGGATAGAGCTGAATGAGGTTGGGAAAGCCCCAACAGGTAGGCAGTTGCTACTGCCTTTTTAAAAAGACGGGCAACATCTTTTCCATCCCAACATCTCAAACAAAGGCTAGTTGATCATCAAACAAGTTTTAAGAACCAAAACTCACCAGCATTGTGACAAAATCCCCCAATCTAAAAGTGACAAACCCTGAAAATATCATGACTCTCAGGTGATTCAAAAGTTAAAACTCATCTTGAGATCACAGGGGAGTAGAATAAAGAGATCAGGGCAAAGGAAAAAATTGTGGGAATTACACACAGTATGCAAATGCCTGGTCTTCACAGAGAGACACTTATCATGAATCAGACCATCAGTTATGTTATAAGAGAACCAATACCAACATTTCTCCTGTGGAGCACAGTGATAAGCACATTTTTTATGAATGTGTTTAGGATAGATGGGGGTAGGTAGAAGGGAGAGGAGGCAGGGAGGTGAATGTATTATGTACAAAGAGAAACGACAGAGACCATCCCCTCCTTTAGCTCTTTGCTGTTTCTTTCTCTTTGTTTTCCGCATCCTCAGGATATGCATGCCATGTCAGTCTCTCTTCATAAAATGCTATCACAATCTGTGGACATTTTATATTAGCTTCTTTTGCAAGAACCAGGTCTGCTTCATCTGTGTCTTTCCTGGAGAGAAAAAAATAGGAAGGAGACTTAAAAGAAGAGGAAGTAAGAGTAAGAGTCTGTCCAAATATAGGTTTCTGTCATTTTCTGGATTTAGCTAACTTGATTTTCTCTTCATCCTGATTTCAAAGTGAGAACCCTATCAGTTCAATATTTCCTTTTCTTTTTTAATGTTTTTATTGACTTTTAGATAGAGAGGAATGGAGAGGGTGAGAAAGAAACATCAAGCAGCTGCCTCTTGCACGCCCCCTACTGGTGACTGAGCCAGCAACCCAGGCATGTGCCCTGACCGGGAATCAAACTGGTCACCTCCTGGTGCACGGGGCAATAATCAATCCACTGAACCAAATGGGTTGGACTCAATATTTTCTTTAAAAAATCTGTATTGATTTTATTGGGGTCCAGTTAAATATTTTCAAGGAAAAATTTAAGTAAATGAATTAAATTATGGTAGTTCACCCTTATCTATGGTTTTGCTTTCGCAGTTGGTTACCCAAGGCCAACTATAGTCCACAATTTTTTTTTTTGGCACGTGCCCCTAGCGGAAACCGAACTCAGGACTCTCTGGTCCACAGGCCGACGCTCCAACCGCTGAGCCAAACTGGCCAGGACTAGTCCACAATTATTAAATGGAAAATTCCAGAAATAATTCCTAAATTTTAAATTGTGTGCTGTTCTGAGTAGCATGATAAAATTTCATGCTGTCCTGCCCAGGATGTAAATCATTCCTTTGTCCAATGTATCCATGCTATACATAAAGGTATCTTGAAAGACAGAGAGAGACCACATAAGTTGATTACCACACACTGTTCTATTTTATCATTAGTTATTGTTATTAATCTCTTACTGTGCCTAATTTATAAATTAAACTTTTTTTTTTTTTTTTTTTTGGTACATGCCCCTAGCGGGGAACCAAACCCAGGACTCTCTGGTCCGCAGGACGACGCTCCAACCGCTGAGCCAAACCGGCCAGGGCTAAATTAAACTTTATCATAGGTATGTATGTATAGAAAAAAACACAGTACATATAGGGTTCAGTACTATCAGCAGTTTCTAGGCATCCACTGGGCAGGGAGTGGGGGTTGGGTTGGAAGGTATCCACCATGAATAAGGGGGAGAGGGTGACTATATTACTGACTACTGTATTAGTGAGTATCATTTAACTACTACATCAGACAGAAACAGAAATCTTCACAGCTAGAATTTAGTTGAAAAACATAGCAGGATTAATCAAAAGGCTGAAAAATTATATAAATTCTGCCCCCATAACTTTTATTTGTATGTGTAAGTATGTGAGTGATTATGCAATCAACCTACATTTATCCTTATCGATTATGCATAAATTGATCAATCCAGTTTCTGGATCATCAAAGGGAAAGCATCCTAACCTTCCTCATCGGGTGTCCTTTTTTAAACATTATTTTATTTTATTTTTTTGATACATGCCCCTAGCAGGAACCGAACCTGGGACTCTCTGGTCCGCAGGCTGATGCTTCAACCACTGAGCCAAACCGGCCAGGGCTTTAAACATTCTTTATCCTTTTGGTCAGAACTGTGAATTGGAACAATAAGAAAAAACAGAAATTTAAGTCAGAAACAATACTTACAAAAGGGAGTAGGAAAAAATTTTAATCTAGTGCTAAAATGAAATGTAGGAATTAACTGCAAATTCCTTAATCAGGATATTAAATCAAGGAAAAAAAATGTTTTAATCAAAATTCCAATGAGATGTGAGCAAAGACAACTACCTCCTTGTCCAGAAAACTGAGATGTTTAATTCACAGAGGTAAGTCTTATGGGTGAGAAGAGGAGAGGGAAAACCCACAGCTTAGAGAAGATACTCAAATTTGGACTGTGGTGCAAAGAGCTAGTTAATATGTGATTATAAATCATAAGTAACACATATGACTGAGTGGGAAAACAGTCAATACAGCTCCTTACTTCTGAAAAGACTAGAGTGAGTCTTCAAAAATAGGTTTTTGGGTAATTTACCAGTAAATTTTGATCAAATAAAATGTTAAACCTTTTGATTATACATTTAAGGTAATTAGCTTCTTAAGTGCACAAGAGCATGAACTCCAAACCTAAACCATAAGCTCAGAACACTGGGATAGAGGAGGCACTGGGGGCCAGACCATAAATCACCCTGTCTTTTAGAAACCAAATTGAAGGGAAGTAGCTACACTTTCCTCTAAGAGCCATTTCCTCCACCGGATGAAATAACTTGTACTTAGGCCAGTATTATTCTTAATGTTTTTTGTTCAGATTATTTTTCTCTTTTAGACATTATTGTGGTGTTGGTCCTCAGTGATGGCAAAAGCCCACTCAACTCCTATGCCATGGCCATGGTGTCTTGGTAAATGATTCAGAACTGTGTAAAAAAAATGGTTAGGTATGTTTATGTTTCCTACCTCAAATCTACCCTTTTCTGATATGTGGGCTAATATTATATAATTTGGCTTAATAACAAAGCTTGAAAATGTCTTGAATTCTTGAATTCATTCCAAACCATAATTCCCATTTAATATTGACAGTTGACGTCAATTAAAGAACCTTGACAATCAAAATTCTTGGTTGGAAAATACTCAATCTTCCCTCCCTACCTTCCACACAAATTCAAGTCACTGGCAAAATAACCCAGAGTTGTAGAGCAAGACACAATCGCTCTCACCATTTCATTAGGAACATTAAATCGCCACAGGAATCTGTCGCCCCAATGATCTTTTCTGGTTCCAGTCCTCTTTCAAAGCCCCGAGCAATATCATTGCTTTGCTATAAACAGAAAATGAAGAAAAGTTATGGCTAGGAGAAAGAGTTAAAACCTCCCTATCTCTCAGCTTAACAAAAGCACAACCTAACATTATCTGTTACCATTTTTGTAATAAAATTCTTAAAATTTAAGAAATACAATACTGAGCCACCCAGTGACAGTGATGCCGAAAGATATTTTTGCAAGAAGATGCAGTTGTCTCTCCAGTATTCCTTCAAGATTAGGAGTGCCTCCTAAAACTCTTTAATATCCCTTAAAGTATCCTGGAGTCATCATTTAGAAATTCCTCTAATTCAATCTTCTAATGATATAAATTACCCCTAAATTGCTTCTGAGATGATAAACAAGTCTATTTTACCCAAACTAAACCCTTTTTCATATTATAAACTTCAAATATACCACACCTCTTAATCTTTACTTTTTCAGACTTTCAGTTTACCTTAACACTGACCAATATTTTTAATACTTTCCACATAGTCATCTATATTTATGAAAGAACAGAGGTACCATAAAACAACAAATTTCTTTCAGAGCTCACATACTGTATTTCCCATGCATTTGGAGAAGAGGCCCTGGTCTGTGCCTATCCGCTCCTGACGTGGATGAGTCATTAGCATTAGAGAACAGAACCGGACAGTGATTTAAAACAAACAAACTGATTACTCTCTAGGGGAGTATTCACATTTGGTCAGAATGCAATCATGCAGTCTAGATAAGGAGCACAGGGTCTGATTCAGGTGTGATGGCACTGGTGAAAACAAAATAGCAAAATTTTATACAAAGCAAGTAATTAAAAAATTTTTTTTATTGACTTCAGAGAAAGGGGAAGGAGAGAGAGAGAGAGAAATATCGATCAGTTACCTCCCACACACACACCAACCGGGGATCAAACCCACAACCTGGGTATGTGCCCTTGGGAATCAAACCTGATACCTTTTGATATACAGGGTCGATGCTCCAACCGAGCCACGCCGGCCAGGACACAAAGCAGGTAATTTAAAAAACCTTATTATGAAAGAGAAAGACTGTGCAAATGATCTAGTATCTGATATCTAACTTTCATAGTAAAATCTCTTTGATCTGACATTCACCCTCCTTGCTCTCTTCTGAGACATACAAACATTCATGGTTCAGGTGGTCCCCAAAGATACAAGAACTCACACTGGGAAGGAAATTCCATGCATGGATCAGGGGAGATACTGACTCAAAAACTAAGTCTCTTTTGGGGGCTCTTAAGGGGAGGAGGTTCCCAGATGTGCACACAGCTGCTCACAGCTGGAATGCTGGCACATGAACTGAGTCATAAATCATTGCCGGCGGCTGAAAACAGTTTGCCACATAGGAAGGAAAGAGAAGAAAAATGTTCAAGCTGCTGAATAGGAGACGAGGCGAGGAAAATGCAAAAATCATCACACAGGCAGTAATCTTAAATCAGGCATAATGCCGACTAACAAATTTCTTCTGCAGTGGTCTAAAGAAAGAAATGCAATCCCCTCCTGTACCTTTAAAACATACAATCACCTATCTTCCTAGCTGCCTAGCTGACAGCCACCAGTACTGTTGAGAATGCTGTCAGGGACCCCAGATAAACATTACAATGTAAGGGACGAGTGGGGGTTGTTTTCAAGGTCAGCAGCATCAGAATCTAGCTCAGGAACAAACTCTGCAATGGCCAGTGGCTCGAAGCCAGATTGTTCCTTTTTAAAAAGACAGAAACCTTAGTTGAGGAAATACACACTCTATGTCACAAATGGCTAGTTAGAAGTCCTACACTGTGTTGTTTTTTGGTCTCTTTACTTAATTGCAGAATTAATCAAATGACAAAAGCCAGACTACAAAGGACTACTTTAAAAAAAAATTATTATAAAAGTGTACACCTGAAATGTATATAATGTACTGAGGATTGAGATGGCAACCCAGTCATGTGCCCTGACCAGGAATTGAACTGGGACTTCTCAGTCCATAGGATGATGCTCAATCCACTGAGGCATGCCTGCTGGGCTACCTCAATACATTTGAAAAAGAAAAAGAAAGAATGAACCAAATCTTAGCTCCTTAGAGAAGGAAAGGCATTCTCAAATTCTTTACCAGCAGTTTATTATAATGATATAGTTTATCATAATGATATACACACCTCACCAGAATAGGGCAGTTTTAAAAATCAGATAAAAAATAAAATTAATGAGGGAAACAAATAAGGAAACAGACACAAACCCAGAGCCCTTTTTCACTTGCAGCCTGCAATCTTTCCCTCTTATATCAATCCTTTTAGGAAAGCTGGTCTCCCATTTTCTCTCCTATGGAGACCAGGAATCACTTGTATAAGTCTATAAAACACTGATGCCTATATCCAACTCACAGAAATTTGAATTTAACTGGTCTGGGGCATGTTGTACTCTGGAGGTTTCTAAAAGCACCCCCACCCAGCCCTGTGGTTCTAATGTACAGCCAGAGCTGAGAACTAATGCTCTAGAAAGACAGGTATCCAAGTAGAATGAAGATAAATAGGCATGCTTATGACAGTGATGCTAGAAGATTCAGAAGCAGGCTTATGCTTTTATTTTATTAAACTTTAAGGGTATGATATACATCCTTCACAAAATACTTCACAACCTTGAAATAAATGAAAGGAGTGGAAGCTGGGGTGGGGGGAGGGCGGTATATGTACGTATATGTGTGCAAAGATGAAAAAGGAGGCAATAACACTGCTTATACTAGTTACTTGAGACCTAAAGATCAAAAAGACTAAAGCAACTGAATCAAACCAAAATTTCATCATCAGACTTTCCAAACTGAACAATAAAGATTCAAACAAAAGATGAAGCCCTGGCTGGTGTGGCTCAGTTGGTGGAGCACTGTTCCGTGCACTGAAAGGTCTCAGGCTCAGTTCCGGGTTGGGGCACATACCTAGGTTTCATGTTTGATCCCTGGCTCCAGTTGGGGCTCATGCAGGAGAGCAGCCACTCTATGTTTCTCTCTCACCTCTCTCTCTCTCCACCTCTTCCCTTCTTTAAAAAAAAAATAAAAAATCAATGAACATATCCTCAGGTGGAGTTTATAAAGAAAATAAAATTAATTTCTTATGTTAAGTACATAAAAATAAGATCGAAAGAGAATATACATGTCACCGAACTATACACTTTAAAATGGTTAATTATAGCCCTGGCTGGTGTTGCTCAGTGGTCAGAGCATCAGCCTGCACACTGAAAGGTTCCATTCCCAGTCAAGAGCATAGACCTGGGTTGCAGGTTCAATCCCCAGCCCCAGCAGGGGCTCAGGGCAAGTGCAGGAGGCAACTAATCAATGTGTCTCTCTCAGTGAAGTCTGGCCCCCCCGCCCCCAAATCAATGGAAAAAATATCCTTAGGTGAGGATTAACAAAAAAAATAAAATAAAAATAAATAAATAAAATGGTCAATTGTATATATGTGAATTTCATCTCAATGAAAAAAAAAGAGAGAGAGAATATAAAGGCTTGAAAGTAAGGGCTATCTTTAGAACAAAAGAAAAACGAAGTGAAGTGGTAAACATTTTAAAGCCCTTTTCTATCCTTAAAAAATTCACCAAAACCCTTCCCCTCTAAGATAGCTTAGCCCACCCTGGCCGGTTTAGCTCAGCGGTTGGAGTGTCAGCCTGCAGACCAGAGAGTCTCAGGTTCAGTTCCCGCTAGGGGCACGTCGGGAAAAAAAAAAAAAAAAAAAAGATAGCTGAGCCTTAGCCTTCTTCTTTGGAGAAAACAGAGAGTGGCTGAATGTTTTACAGGGATTTAATTTTGCCACCTTAATACAATTCAGTGTACATATATTACATTTCTCATTCAGCCAGGAGGGGGCGCTGTAGTTAATCAACATACCTCCCTGGAAGCTCTTTTGTTCAACAATTTTACCTTGCAGGCCATCCTTAGAACAGAAATAAACAAAATAAGGCTCTTTTTGGAGAACGGGGAGGTGGGGAGGGGAAGGGAGGATACAGGGGTGGCAAAAGAGTAGTTTGTGGGGAAAAAGAGGAAAGAAAGCTTACCTCTCTCTTTTTTTTAGATTTGATATCATCAGCAGTGTTTGAGAAACTGGATTTCCTCTTGGTACTTTCTGACTTCTCCCTGGGTTTGTTATTTTCACCCTCCTTCATCTTCTTATACTTTTTCATAAACTCAGAAATTAGCTCAGGGCAATCCAAATTTTTCTCAGGTTCCCAAGTATTGTGCTCCCTGGAAAGAACAGAGAAAAAAGGAAAAGAATTACAGTGAATAGGGGTGGGGAGAATCCAATGCCTTAGTTTAAAAAAGACAAGTAGGCAAAAGGGAAAGAAACCCTATACTTACAGGAGATAAACATATTTAATCCTAGGAATTTATCCAAGAAAAAATTTAAAAATATAACTACAAAAAAAACTTGCACACAATTATTTATAGCAGCATTTTAATAGCCAAAACAATTCAAATGTCCATGAACTGGTGAATGGATAAACAATATCTGCTATATCTATACAATGGACTATACTCAACAGCAAAAAGGAGCACAATACTAATTAATACATGCTACAACATGGAAGAACCTAAAAAACATGCTAGGTGAAAGAAACCAGATGCAAAAGACTATATTATCTGATTCTATTTATATGAAATGTCTAGGAAAAACCATTTAGAAACAGAAAGCAGATTGGTGGTTTCCCTGAAGCTGGATCTGGGTCTTGAGATTAACTAGATATAAGCTCAAGAAAACATGGGGAGATTCTGGAGTGTGAGGATGGTTGCACAACTCTATAAATTTACTTAGCCCAGCTGGTGTGGCTCAGTGGATTGAGCATGGTCCCATGGACTGCGAAGTCCTGGTTCCATTCCTGGTATGAGCACATGCCTGGATTGCCAGCTCGATCCCCAGTAGGGGGGCGTGCAGGAGGCAGCCAGTTGATGATTCTCTTTCACATCAATGTTTCTATTTTCTCTCTCTCTCTCTCCCCCTTCGTATCTGTAAAAAATTCAATAAAAACATTAAATAAATTAATTAATTTACTTTTAAAAAAATCACAAATCAGCCCTGGCTGGTTTGGTTCAGCGGTTAGAGCATCAGCCTGCGGTCTGGAGAGACCCGGGTTCGGTTCCTGCTAAGGGCATGTACCTTGGTTGCAGTTTGTCCCCGGCCCTGGTTGGGTCGTGCGGGTGGCAGCCACTTGATGTGTGCCTTTCACATCGATGTTTCTCTCTCTCTCTCTCCCTCCCACTCCATCTGAACAAAAAATGTCCTTGGGTGAGGATAAAAAAATATCACGAATCATACACTTTCAATGAATGATTTTTATGGGTTATAAATTATACCCTCAATAGAAGTGTTTATAACTCAAATATGAATTCTACTTTATAAGTGGCAAAATAATGTGGTTTCATACATATAATCATTTATGCAAATTATGAGAGGACAATCTAACAGATCATCTACCCCCAGTTAAATATGTTACTTATATTTTGAAAAAATGTCAACCAATTATTGGAGGATTGGAAACCGTTATTTATAAAAAAGGCAGTAAGTGCTTAAATCATTAGAATATAGATGAACCATAAGAAGACTCAGAAGTAGGAATTTGAGTGCATTAATTCAATGGTCTGGATTCAAGTCTATTGTTACTAAGTAGTCAAAAATAAGTCCTATTAATAAATGCAATTTTTAAAAAAACTAGCCCTGGCCAGTTTGGCTCAATGGTTAGAGCGTCCGCCTGTGGACCAGAGAGACCCGGGTTCAGTTCCCACTAAGGGCGTGCACATCGGTTGCGGTTTTGTCTCCGGCCCTGGTTGGGGTTGTGTGGGTGGCAACCAGTCAATGTGTCTCTCTCACGTTGATGTTTCTCTCTCTCTCTCTCTCTTCCTTCCTCTCTACCTCTATCTGAAGATAAATGCAAAAATGTCCCCGGTTGAGGATAAAAAAGAAAAAAACAAAACTAAACTAAATTGGGTCTAATTAAACTTGGATCAAGGGACTCCTATTATGAGAAAAACAAATAATTGGTATTCACAGTTGTTCTGTATTCCTAGCATGGGTTTTACAAAACCAAACCCCCAACTCCATCATAAGCTTATGAAATCAAAGCAAGAAAAGTACCTACATGGGAAAAACTACACCAGACATCCTCTTTACTCCTAGCCAGTGGCAGAGGTTCTTCTGGTTACATAGTGAGGACTAGTTTATATTAAGATACATCTGTAAATATATCAAAGCAGTTTCTACAGTACTTTCATTGACTTGAGAACATTTTTATTTTATGTACTATCTATTTTAGATGTTTTATTGTTTTTGTTTTTAAAACAGGTATCTTTAGTCCTGGCCAGTTTTGCTCAGCGGTTAGAGCCATCGGTCCGTGGACCAGAGAGTCCCGGGTTCGATCCCTACTAAGGGCACGTACCTCAGTTGAAGTTTGTCCCTGGCCCCGGTTGGGGTTGTGTGGGTGGCAACCAGTGGAAGTGTCTCTCTCACACTGATGTTTCTCTCTCTCACTCCCTCCCTCTCTGTCTGAAGATAAATGCAAAAATGTCCTTGAGTGAGGATAAAACTAACTAAATAAATAAAACAGCTATCTTTAGGAATGATGTTAACAAATGACATACTTGACTCAAATAAGAAGCAGAATGATGAAAAATTTTGAGATATTTAGACGTAAACAACTTTCTGCAAAAGGAGCTTAAGAATGAGACAAAATTTATGTTTAACAATCATTTGAGCTAGAACTAGAAAAGCTTTTCACTCATAACCCTTTTCCCGCCCCACCCCACCCCCAAAAATCCTCATATAGTAACTTTTCCCCAAATCCACAGGCCATATGGTTAATTTGCAGAAGAAATTTAAAGTACCAAAATCATGAGGCATGCCAACACTAGATGTAGGGGTAGGAGAAAGTCTGTTCACAGCATGAAAAGCAAGTCCTTTAATTGGATTATCCTTTTCCTGCCATATTGATATTGCTGTTTTCTACATCAACCAAGGTAGAATCTGACCACTGCCTAGCAAACAATAGATACTTAGTTGTAGACAATGCCAAAGGGGTAAAATTTGTTCCAGTCTTTAATAAAATCCTGGGCATTTTTGACAAAGGATAAATGCTTAGTCTGCCTAACTCAAGCATTGTCTTTTCCTCTTTTATCTTTCTTTAGAGACATGGAGGGCATATTCTGATTGTTGTGTTACCCACATTTAGTGCTCTGTGTGCCCGAGATACTAAGTAACCTGTAGTGCACAAACTGTCCCACCTAAAACAGTGCTCTGGATTAGAATCTTTGATTCATATAATGAAATAACCTTAAGTATGTTCCGAAGGCTCCTGATTCATACCTTTGTCAAAGATACTGTCAAAACACTGAATCTTTTAATATGTTTAAGTCCTATATATTAAAGCTATGATGTTCAATATGGTGGCTAACAGCTATATGTGGCTACTGAGCCCTTGAAATGTGACTAATCTGAACTGAGATGTGCTATAAAATATAAAATATACATCAGATTTTGAAGACTTACTATGAAAAACCACTGTAAAATATCTCAACAATTTTAAAATTAATTATTGTTGAAATAGCACTTTGGTATATTATGTTAAATAAAACATATTAAAATTAATTTCATTTTTTTTAATGTGGCCACCAAAAAAATTCTAAGTTACACGTGTGCTTTGCATTATATTTCTACTGGACAGCACCACTCTAAGGAGCCTAAACCATTTCCTATCAGTTCATTGGGGTTCTCAGAAATTCATTCTTTGTTATCAGGCATCTTGAGAAAAGAATTAACCAACAATTGAGGCAAAATGCCTAATGATTACACAGCTTCATATATATTTACCTTTCAAGGTACTTCTTCTATGCTTCAATGTGTCTAGTTCTATTTATTCCACAAAAAAGAATAACCAGGAGGGGGGAATTAGTGGGGGGAAAAAGGAGAAATATCTGTAACAAAACTAGGTGGTATGTGTCTGAGTGTTCACTCAGTTTCTTTGGCCTCAGCTATATATTTGAAAATTTCAAAAATACATACATACATTGCTGACAATGTACAATGATACAGGACTGTGACCTCAGATTTAAATCTCATTAAGATTAAGTGCTTCAGCCCTGACTGGTCTTGCTCAGTGGTTAGAGCGTCTGCCCGTGGACCCGAGTTACAGGTTTGATTCCCAGTCAAGGGCATGTACCTGAGTTGCAGGTTTGATCCCTGGCTCTGGTTGGGGTGCATGAGGGAGGCAACCAATCAATGTGTCTTTCTCACATAGATGTTTTTCTCTCTCTCCCCCTCCAGTCCTTCCCTCCAATATCTCTAAAAAAAAGGGAAAGAAAAAAAGATAAGTGCTTCAGCCTTGGCCAGGTAGCTCAGTTAGTAAGAGCATGCTCCCGATATGCCAAGGTTTCGGGTTGGATTCCGTCAGGGCACATATAAGAATCAACCAATGAACGCATAAACAAGTGGAACAACAAATCAGTGTTTCTCTCTCTCTCCTTCTCTCTAAAATCAATTTAAAAATTAAGTAACAATAGAACTGGAAGAAACATAAAAAGGAAAAAAAAATGGTAAGTGCTTCATCTTAGGACAGTTCTAGGATCCAGGGATCATTTTGGAAAGCTATGGGCTACGGTATCCATGACGATAACTACTTCTTCTTCATCACCATCTTCAATGTACATATTTTAGCTCAGTTATATTCAAAAGAATAGTAACAATAAAGTTTCTACTTACACTGAGCTTATGTGTCGGTTCAGTATATCTACCCAACATCTGTATTACAAGTATTATTTCTTATCTCTATTTTATTGAGGAGGAAAATAGATTAAGGAACTTAACCAAGGTCACTCAGCTCATATCTTTTAAAAAAATGTATTATTATTATTATTTTAAATCGTCACCTGAGGATAGTTTTCCATTGATTATTCGACAGAGTAGGAGGCAGGGGAAGAGAGGGAGAAACATCGATGTGAGAGAAACACATCAATTGGCAAGACCCCAACCAAGGGTGGGGGTCGAACCTGCCCACTGAGGTTTTTGCCCTTGACCTGGAATCGAACCCGCAACTCTTGGGTCCACGGGCTGACACTCTAACCACTGAGCCAAACTGGCCAGGGCACCCAGCTTCTATCTTGAGTGGTGTCGAAAGAATCTGGACCCAGGCAATCTGGCTCCCAAGTCTATGTTTCTAATCAATTCATTATACTGCCTCTCAAAAGCATTACCATTAGAACACCAGCTCCAAAAAGGGAAAAACTTTGTTTAGTTTATTGCTGTATCTTCTGACTCTTAGGAGAGTACAGGTAGGGAAAGACAAAGACAAAATGGCAGTGGTTCATGAGGAAATAAACCAAGTGTGTCTACCTCTTCAGAGTCCTAAGGCCTAAGAGAAGGCACTTACTCAGAAAAGCCTTTCCACTTCAGTAGATATTCCACTTGCCCCTTAACCACACGCCTATCTAGCACCTTCTCCACGACGTACTCCTCCTCATCCTCTGAAGAAGAACTGTCAGCTGTTCGCTTGGTTTTCTTTCCCATGTCGTACACGCGGTTCCACCTGAAGTACTAAGGCCACTGGGTTCCTGCAAATGGGAAGGACAAAATAAATGGTCAGAATCCATGTGAGGAGTTAAAACTAGTTGTCTCTTGCCCTGGCTGGTTTGGCTCAGCAGTTAGAGTGTTGGCCTGCAGACCAGAGAGTCCTAGGTTTAATTCTGGCCAAGGGTACATATCTCAGTTCGTCCCGGGCCCCAGTTGGGGTCATGCAGGTGGCAACCAATTGATGTGTAGACACATCCATGTCTGTCTGTCTGTCTGTCTGTCTCTCTCTCTCTCTCTCTCCCCCTCCCTCCTCCCTCCCTCCCTGTCTGAAGATAAATATAAAAATACCCTCGGGTGAGGATTTAAAAAAAAACTAGTTGTCTCTTCTTTTTTTTAAATCCTCACCCAAGGATATGTTTATTGATTTTAGAGAGAAAGGAAGGGGGGAAAAGAGAGAGAAAAAAACATCAATGTAAGAAAGAAATCTCAATTGGTTGTTTCCCATACACGCCCTGACTGGGGATCGAACCTGAAAGAAACCTAGGTATGTGCCCTGATGGGAATAGAACCCACAATCTTTTTTCTTTTTTTTTCCTTTTTTTCCCCTTTATTGATTTGAGAGAGAGGAAGTGAGAGGGAGAGAGACAGAAACATTGATGAGAGAGGACATCAACTGGCCACCTCCTGCATGCCCCCCACTGGGGATCAGGCCCACAACCTGGGCATGTGTCCTGACCAGGAATCGAACCGATAACCTCTTGGTGCATGAGTTGATGCTCAACCACTGAGCCACACTGGCCGGACAGAACCCACAATCTTTTGGTATAGGACGATGCACCAACCAACCGAGCCAACCAAGTTTCTCATGTCTTTAAGAGCTAGCCCTGCCCTGGCCAGTATGGCTCAGTGGTAAGAGTGTTGCCCACGGACTAGAGAGTCTCAAGTTCGATTCCAGCCAAGGGCACATACCTGGGTTGTGGTTCATCCCTGTCCCCGATTAGGGTTGCGCAGGGGGTAACTAATCCATGTGTTTCTCTCACATCGATGTTTCTCTCTCTCTCTCTCCCTCCTTCTTTCCCTCCAGCTCTATCTGAAGATCAATGTAAAAATATCCTTGGGTGAGGATCCAAAAAAAAAAAGAGCCAGCCCTATCCTCTGGACGGCCCTCCTAAACTGAGAGAAAGACTGCTGTGTGTCCTGCCAGACTCCCCCGTTACAACTGAGCACAGGGAAACAGAGAAACCACAGGCCAGGACAAGTTTCTGTCTCTTCTTCTTCTTTATTTTTTTTTATCTTTTATTTTTTTTATCCTCACCCGAGGATATTTTTCCATTTTTGTACAGATAGAGTGGGAGGGAGAGAGAGGAAGGGAGAGAAACATCGACGTGAAGGGACACATCGAGTGGCTGCCACCCGCACGACCAACCAGGGCCGGGGACAAACTGCAACCGAAGTACGTGCCCTTAGCGGGAACCGAACCTGGGTCTCTCCGGACCGCAGGCCGACACTCTAACCGCTGAGCCAAACTAGCCAGGGCTCTTCTTTATTTTTTTAAAATATATTTTTATTGATTTTAGAGATAGAGAAACATTGATACTCTGCCTTCTCCATGCTCCCTAATGGGGACTGAGCATGCAACCAGGCATGTGCATAGACCAGGAATCAAACCAATAACCTTTCGGTGCATGGGATGACACTCAACCAACTGAACAACAATGGCCAAGGCTCTGTCTCTTCTTGACGAGATGCAAAGGGCATAACACAATTGCTCTGTACTCTTCTCTCAGGCCTTGAAGCATTCTACATAGGAATCCAAAGAATTTAATAAAAAATGGGTCTATTCCGGTCAGGGTCGTTCAGGAGGCAACCAATCCATGTCACACCGATGTTTCTCTCTTTCTTGTTCTCCCTATCTAAAAATCAATGAAAAAATACCCTCAGGTGAGGATTAAAAAAACAACAGATCTACTGCCACTTTCCCAACCACAACTTTCTCTTCGACTAACAAGACCAAAATTAGATGGCACACTGTCTAACTCCTCTAATTTCAGATTCCAAAAGACAAGTAGTGTGGTATGTTTCTCCTGGCTACTTCTGTAACTGTTTACAAGTCAGGAACTCAAATAGAAATATGGAAAATCTGTAGTTAAAAGAAGTATGATAGCCTGGCCAGTGTGGCTCAGTGGATGAACATCGAACCATGTACCAAGAGGTCGCTAGTTCGATTCCCAGTCAGGGCACATGCCCAGGTTGTGGGCCAGATCCCCAGTAGGGGGGCATGAGGAGGTGGTCAACCGAGGTTCTCTCTCATTGATGCTTCTATCTCTCTCTCCCTCTCCCTTCCTCTCTCTTTAAAAATCAATAAAGAAAAAAAAAATGATAGCCCCACCAGTGTGGCTTAGTAATTGAGTGTCGTCCCAGGATTGAGAGGTCCCGGTTCAATTCCTGGTCAGGGCATATGCATAGGTTGCAGGCTAGATCCCCAGAAGGGGGCGTTCAGGAGGCGGCCAATCAATGTTTCTATCTTTCCCTTCCTCTCTCTCTCTCTAAAAAATAAAATCAATAAAAACATATTAACATATTTTTTCAACTTTTATTAATTTATTTTTGTTACAGATGTTTTTCCTTTTCCACCCCCCAAACACCCTCCTCCCCATCCCACCCCAGCATTGTTGTCTATATCCACTGGTTACGCATACATGCATATAAGTTCTTTGGTTAAAAACATTTAAATATATAATGCTTCATTAAATTTTTTAAAAAAGAGAAAGAGCAAACCATGATAGAAGTAAAGCCTTTCCGTCCAAGGTAAATAAGGTTCTTTATAAAAATGAAAAAAGAAAAGCCAGCAAAATGTAACTTTCGCCTGCTCTGAGCATCTTGACCGGTTGTTCTCTTAGCACAAAAAAAGGCCTGCTCAGGCATCTTTCACCACATTTTCAGTGACTCGGTACATTTCCCGTATATAAATTGAGCTTGTCTCTTCAGAGCATCCATCAGCTCACAAAAGCAAGACTGACATCTCAAACACACTAAGCCTCCTTTTTCATTTGGGGATGGGAGGGAGGCAGAGAGGAGAAAAAAATGTTTTAGTCCTAAAAATTAAAATTAGTCATTGGATTTGCTCAGTAATTCTCAAGGCTCAACTAATACAAATAGTTAAGGAGGTACCTCTCCTTTTAACTCAAGTTGACTTTGGGCCAAAAAAGAGTAGGAGGAAAGAGAAGTCTGGCCCTAGACTCACATCAACATGAAGCCTCAAAACACAGAGGAACCATTCATTGGCCCAAGGAAAGCTGAAGGCAACACAAATGGAAATTGAGTTAAGCTCAGAAATATGCAGAACCAGAGGGTACTCAACAGAGAATCTAGTTTTTTAAATTCCCACGTTGTTACCGTAATCATTTTTAAGAATTCTCCTTTAACCATGTTAAATGGTCCCTACAGTCTGGATTATAGATTAGCAGGAATTGTTTTCATAGCTGAACTCCATATTTATTTTGCTGTGATCTTTAAAAAAATTTTCAGCACTCTCTATAAAAATATTTCCATTTTGACCAGAGAAGGCCACTACTAATCTCAGAATTTTGTTCAGGTCAAGTAGCATAAAAAGTTGCATTTAATTTACTTCAAATAGCAAAATTTAAGGAATTATCCCAAGAATATATAGTTGGACACCGAATCTCCAGAACTTACTAGCAATAGGTCTGCCTACTCAAAAAACTGTCCGTAACCATTACTGCCCTGTAATAAAACTAAGTTTTCATTAAAAATGCTTTATTCGGAAGAGGGGGTGGGCAAAAGAATGTAAGTAAAGGATTTCGAAATAATTTTTCCATGAATTTAGAAGAGAGTCCTAAGCTTCAAGAAAAAATATCTGATTTGATTTATTTAAAATAAAAACAGCCTCCGACCTCACCAGAGACAGGAAATGTCATATTCCAGGGAGAGTACCCCACCCCACCCCCACTCACCTTGGAATTTCCGGGAGCTGAGCAGTTTAGGTCAGAGCGCTGGGGTTAAAACCAGCCCTGGGTTAGATGCATGCAGTTAAGCATTGTGGCTATGGCCTCCCCAGCCTTACGAGGAAAAACAAGGATTTACATGTGTTCTTCAGTTTGAGGGAGAAAAGAGGAAAATCTCCCTTTATACCTTCAAGCAGAATGGGTTCCCCAAAGGGAGAAGATGAATGGGGGTTCCCTCCTTTACCTACCGGATCGCCCCACTTCTTTCTTTCCCTCTGGGCTAACAGGAGGGGCCTCCCCTCCCAGATCTGGGGCTTGGCGGGCTGGCAGCTCCCCCGCCCCCACCCAGCTGCCTGGGCGCCACTGCGCAGCTGTCCCAGTCCGTTGCCATGGCAACTGGCAGCCGTACTAGACTAAGAGGGGGAGACACAAACTAAAAAGTTAAAAGCCTTAACTTTCCTTTTCACTGAAGACTGGGCAAAGAAGTTGGAAGGTACCCTCCTTGGCCTCAAGAGTTCAAGGGAATTCGTTTTGGGGTTTTAAATCCAAAACTTGTGCTTATTCCTCTAAAACCACTGGGAATTAATCAATAGCATTTTAAGATCATCTAACCGGATTATAGCTCAACTGGAAGGGGGAGGGGAAAGGCTATGTCTTTCCACCAACAAAATCACTGCAAACCACCCACCCCCTAATCCAGCCCACCAGAAGCACTTTACACAGGCCATCTGTCACTGAACAATTAATTAAAATTGCTTGGGGGGAGGGAGAGAGAAGAGGGAGATAACGCAAAAAGTGGAAGGAGAGTATTTGGGATACTATGTAAGTGTCCTTCTTGGGGATATTACTAGATAAAGAAACAAACCCAGAGAACATTACCAAAGAATCATTACCAAAGAATCTTTCAACTGGAACTATAGATAGAAAAATTATTTAATCCTTAAATTAAGTAGTTTTTAAAAGGGGAGGAGAGAGCAGTCCAGCTACAACCATTACTGTGTACCACTTGTCTTTAGTTGTACTTGTTCTATAACAAATTTTAAAATAATTACTGCCCATCCAAACAATATAAAATTTAAAATTATGTATATCATCCCTAGTACATGAGAAAACGAGGAATGAGACAAGGAAAAGATACAGAGACCTGCAGTTCTACAAATTTACATTTCTCCTGGCCCTAAAGAACATTTTAGAAGGCTCTAAAACTTGCTCTGCTTTCTAGATAACTGTCTTTAGAGCCATAGGTGGCTGCCATAAAAGTAATAAAAAGGGACAAGCAAAAGCAACCTAAAGCAGGGCGTGAGGGTATAGCTCAGGAGTAGAGCATTTGACTGCAGAAGCAACCCAATCTGCCCCGGTCGGTTTGGCTCAGCAGTTTAGAGCATTGGCCTACAGACCAATGAGTTACAGGTTTGATTCCAGTCAAGGGCACATACCTTGGTTCATCCCCGGCCCTGGTCAGGTAGTGCAGGAGGCAACCAGTCGATGTGGCTCTATCACATAGATGTTTCTCTCGGTCTCTCTCTCTCCCTCCCTCCTTCGCACTCTATCTGAAGAAAAAATGAAAAAAAAATGTCCTTGGATGAGGATAAGAAAGAAAGAAAGAAAGAAAGAAAGAAAGAAAGAAAGAAAGAAAGAAAGAAAGAAAGCGAGCGAGCCCTGGCCAGTTTGGCTTAACAGTTAGAGCATCAGCCCACGGACCAAGGAGTCTCCGGGTTCTATTCTGATCAAGGGCACCATAATGTGGTTGCAGTTCATCCCCGGCCCTGGTTGGGGCTGTGCGGGAGGCAACCAATACATGTGTCCCTCTCACATTGATGTTTCTCTCGCTCCCTCCCTCCCACTCTATCTGAAGATAAATAGAAAAATATCCTTGGGTGAGGATTAAAAAATAATTTTAAAATAAGGAGGAAAAAAAGCAACCCTATTGAGGTGAAAACAAAGAACAGTGATTATTCTGGTTATCAAACAGAAGAAATTACAGGGTATAAGAGCAAAGCAGACAGTTTTCAACTACAGATTTCCTCAAATTTGAATGGACCCACCATGAAATCTAAGTAAAACTTGCCTTTTTTTAACTTTCCCTAACTAATACAAAATTTGAGTTTAGGGGTGACAAGAAAAATATTCTGAACCATTCTGAATTAAAATTACAGCAGTCAGAGAATGAGAAAAAGAGACACAATATTAGTCTGTTACTACTAACTGTGGACTAGCTGTGACAAAAGACTGCTCACATTTCCTATAAATCTGTTGGAATTTAGAATTAATTTCCAGGTGGCTTTTTCTGAGATTATCCAAGTACCACAGAATCCCAGGAGCCTATGCATCTTATTTACACAAGAATTTTTCAATCTGCTGCCCATTGCTAATCATAGGAGTGGATACTTCTTTCTTAAGGACTCCACTATGCCTATCCCAGAACTAGCCCTGTTTCACCTACTCCCAACCCTTTTGTCTCTAGCTAATGTTAAATCCTTTCAGAACAATGACATCTTTCTCCTCCCTACCTAATGTATAAAAATGCTTGCAAAACTCAGGGAAGACAGACATGTTGTCTTTCCTACCTAGCCATGCTTGCTGGTGATTTAGACTTCATGCCCCAAGTCTGGTCTTTTTTTTTTGTTGCTAGCAATGGCCTGATAAACCCTTTTATTATTTTTGTTTAAATATGTTTTTTGTTAGAGAGAGAGGAAGAGAGATACATCCATCAGCTGCCACTTGCACAGCCCTTACTGGGGACCAAGCCTCAAACCCCAGCATGTGCCCTGACCTGGAATTGAACGGCCCTCTCGGTCCATGGGACAAGGTTTAATCCACTGAGCCATGGCTGGGCTTTAAAAAAGACTTTGAGCTCTGGCCAGTTTGGCTTAGCGGTTGGAGCATCCACCCAAGGACCGAGTCGAGGATTAAATTCTGGTCACGGGCATGTGCTTTGTTTGTGGTTCAGTTCCTGACCCTGGTAGAGGTGGTGAGGAAGGTGACTAATGGATATGTCTCTCTCACATCGATGTTTCTCTCTCTCTCTCTCTCTCAAGATAAATGGAAAAATGTCCTCTGGTGAGGATTAAAAAAAAAAAAGACTATCAGCCATAGAAGTTAAAATTTTTTTAACTGGTATATGAAAACAATGCCAAGGAAATTAGATCAGGGTTCTGATTCTGTAATTAACTTGCCATGTGTGATCTTGAGTAAATAAATTTTCGATCTAACCCCAGAATCACTAAAATGGGCCAAATAAATCCCCACTGTCTACCTCCTAGGGAAAAGGGTGAGTTTATGTTGAAATCAAATAGCTGTTCAGTCCCCTAAAAAGAAGCTTTTGTAAAAATATTACGGGGCCGAATACAACAGCAGCAAGAAATATGACCTTCCAAATTCCTAAACCATTAAACCATATCACATGCAGTAACTCTTGCAGCTCAACATGTTAGTAGATAGCAAGAAAAAAGGAACAGTGTCTCTGTTAATTAGGCAACAATAAATTCAATCTTCAGAGAATAGGCAGGTAAGTTCTCTCTTAAGAGTAAAATACTTATTCTTATGCCTTAAAACTCAGAAAAACAAAGGAGATGGCAGAATGAAAAGATGACTGACTAATAGTAATTCTGCGAAGGGATAATGGAGAGGAAAGAATGAGAGAAACACTACTACTTTAGCAACACTATCCTTTCAGGGAAAAAAATGAATTTAAGGAGGAAAGGGACACAAATATTCTGGAGTCCACCCCTCTCCCTAAAACAGCAGAAAATAAACAGATCAATTCCTCCTTCCCACTCTTAAGACCTGCCTAAAGTCCCTTATTCTTTGGGAAATGGGTTTTGTAACAGCTGACAAATCAAATTGGGCCTGATGCCAGAAGTCAGAGTCCAACCATAATATTCTGTAAAGAATGGCATGCAATTGTCTTGTAAATCTCCTGGACAGTCACAGATCAGAAGCTGGCAAGGATGACGACATAGTTCTGATGGAATGTGTCTTATCTTAACCTTGAAGTTACAGATCTGCTCAGGAGCAGCAGTAAGAAATGAGAAATGAACTCAGACATCGGAGGGGACATAATTCTCTTTTAGACAGTGCGACCCAGTGTATTAGGGTCAAATGAAACACAAAGCCAGACAGACAATTTAAGGGCTAGAGCCTGGACCAGATAAAGCATCAAGACTGGTGGTTCACGCTGAGCTTGGGAGGAGGGAGCGTTCCAGTATGAGAAATGAGACATGGCTGGCAGGATGATGGAGTGATTAAGGTAGAATCCCGATACCATGCAGGAGAAAGAGAGGATGAGACTCTGAGCGCAACCTTATCCTTGTGGAAATCTTCATGGGAAGGGGTGAGTAGCATCTCAAATTCCTAGAGTCTTTCAGGCATAACAGCTCTCACCCCTTTCTTGAATATATGCAGGAACTCTGTTAAAGGATCAACAACATTTCTGGCAATTTAACTGCCCAAAATGATACAAGAAAAGAGCAGGCCCCACCAACCCTTCATAAAAATGACACAAGACAAATTCACCTCACAAGCCTCTCAGTGTCAGGGAAAAGACATCTAAACCAGGGATCTGGTGAGAGTCAGCCTTGGAAGAACATCAAAGAGCATTGAAGTCAGGCACAGTAAGAACCCACATTCCAAGCTGATGACAGGAGAAGGCTTTAACAGATGAATCTTACAGAAAAAAAAAGAGGGCGGTGGGTGAGGACGTGAAACAGAGGAGAGGGGAAAAAAATTCCACATAAGGATAAAAGAAAAAAAAGTGTTAAAACTGCCAATCCCCAGAAATTAAGGAGGAAAACTGGGGAAATCCAGAAAAACAGATGATGGTTAACATTTGCATTAACCAATCAATCCTAGAACCACAGAACCACCCACATTGGGTCTCTGACATGTCTGCGTAGGCTCTGCTCTAGTCCCTACAGCCACTTTTTTCTTTTGTTAGTCCTCACCCTAGGATATGTCTCCACTGATTTTTAGATAGAGTGAAAGGGAGGGAGGGAGGCAGGGAGGCGGGGGGGGGGGAGAGAGAGAAACATCAATGTGAGAGAGACAGGGGAGAGAGAGAAACATCAATGTGAGAGACAGATCAACCTGCTCGGAGTTGGGGATCAAACCTGCAACCCAGGCAGTGCCCTGACAGGGAATCTGGACAGACGCTATAAGCACTGAGCCAAATCAGCGAGAGTGAGGGCCCTCCAGCCCCCTTTCAAC